GCAGAGGATAGGGAGGCAGAGCAGCAGGTAACATTGCGGCCATAAGGACATTTCGTATTCATAATCTTAATAAAAATTAACGAGGAAACTGAAGAAACCTAAGAATATGTGGAACCTCGCTAATTAGATATGCAATAGGACATAAGAAATAAAACACACTCACACACTACCAAGGCGCAGAGTGGACATCACAGTTCAAATCCACTAAAACTCTAAGGATGATAGAAACTTCAGACATTAGAGCAAACGGGAGATCAGATAATTACACCGGTGCACACCCTCTCAGCGGGATGAGAAAGGCTGTCTCTCATATCGTGATTTCTGCATTGTGGCTTTCATCCTCAGCTTCTCAGTACGGATGATGACTCATTCTATCCACGTTTGAGGAGAAAAAAAAAACCCTCTGGGTCTATCAAACGTCGGCACAGTGGCTCAGTCCCTACAGGGAGCCAAATATTCCAACTAGCCAGTCAGATTAGGTGATGAGATCACTGGGAACTCACACCAAACTAGATCATCCCCCTGAAACAATTCCTCTCTGTAGCCTGCTGAAATCACAGCGTAGCTTGAACAAAGATTGACAAAACATATGTAAGATTCGAAGCAATTTATACATTTTCGGGAGGGCATGGATTTTTTTTTTTTTTTTACACCTTAGAGATATCAGTTTTATTTCAAGCAGCTCATGTGAAATGGGCTCACAGAGAAGACGCAGGGTTTGGCTGCTGTTCATTCTGACTCATCTCTTCCGTCGCTCCACATCTATGTACCTTCTGCAGTCAGATCGACCTGCTCCACTCCGCCCTCCCCAGTGGTCACGACGTCTTCATGTCCAATGTGCCCCACTTACATCACATGGGGCCATTTTTCTGCCGTCCCTGCCAATCTGGGGAAGGGCTGAGTCACTCTCTGTGCCTGTCTCCCTACAGTATGCTAAACGAATCGTTTAATGATACCCGCATTTGTTCCCAGCACTTGCTCTGGAGTCGGTTAAATGCAAGTTTCCCCCAGAGCAGCGTCTCTCAATCCGGTCCTTGGGGACACGCCTAGACGGTCCACATTTCTGCTCCCTACCGGGAGCTGGGTTAGAACAAAAACGTGGACTGTCTGCCTGTCCCTGAGGATTGAGTTGAGAAACTCTGCCCAGGGGCACACTGACAGAGAGAGGCGACCACGTCTGGTGGCAGCTGGGGAGTCGGGTAGGGCGGGGGGGGGGGGGGGGGCGGTTCACACTGACAGGCGGACGTCGCTGCAGGGCTTCAGATGGGACCAACTGGACCAGTGAACCAGAGAATGCTGGGAAGCGTGATCCGGAGCAACTTCACGGGGAAGATGGGGACTCTGGAAGCACATAATCACTATAATCTGGACACTAATACCAGAGTAAATCTGCAGATTTAGGGGATGGATGTAAACAAAGCCAGAAGCCTCTTCAGGGGTCCCAGAGAAAGCTCATACGCATCATTTTTAATTATGTTAAACAGGCAGAGAAACCGATTTCAGAGACGAAAACGTTCTAATGCTTAAGCCTGAAAGCAGTCAAATGATTTATTTTTTTTTGGCTAACGAAAGTGGGTTAATGAAAACAAAACAAGAATTACGATACCAGCATAATAGGTGTAGCAGGTCATGGCATTAAAATGAGAGATTAAGAAAATGTCAAGTACTATTTTTAACACTTGACTGATATTGTGTTTTCTGTCCTTTAACAATATTTGCCTTCAAAAAAATTATTCAGGAAGAAATCCACCCAAGGTCAGGATTTTACACAAAGGGAGGTGTTTTCCTCCAATTCACATCGGCGAGGAAAGTGATGGCTGATTTGACAAATGTGTCCATTCAACTGGAACTAATAGTTGTATACTTCATTGTTAATCAAATTTGTAGTGCTGCTTATTTATTGATTTCCCCGCGGATGCTGTTAGCTCAGCAGCTCGCCTGCTATCGCCAGGGCGGGCCAGTGATCTGACATGGGGGGGCCACAGGGGGCACCGGAGAGTCCTGCGGGGGGGAGGGAGGGAGTGAGTGTGTTTGGCCAGGAGGAGTCAACAGCTTGTCCCGCCAAGTGAGAGTCATATCAACTGTGCGGGAATCCGGCTGAATCCAGGTGGGGGGGTGCCGCAGAGAAGCTCCCTGAGGAACGGCCAGGGGAACCTGCCAGCTATTTTCTCCTTCTCCCTCTTCTCTTCCCCCAAACAGGCTCCTTGTTCCGCAGATGAAAGGAGGCTCATCCGGGCCGGAGAGGGGGAACAGCCGGCCGCTCTTTCACAAACAGCAGGGCTTTTGACCTCTGAGAGAGGCCAGCCCCGCCCACCCGTTCCCCCCTCCCCAATCCCCTTCCAGGCTTCCTCGTGCAGCATCTGGCCCTACATGTGTGCGGCCACGACACCAGGGCTGGGGTGGGGGGGCGGCGACCACAGTAAACAAAACAGCCGTGGCCTGCATCCCGAACATGACAGCTGCACTGATAGCGTGTGCGTCAGATCTGGCGGGAAAGGAGCCAAGTCCGTCCTCCGGCGTTAGGCTTTCATTACCGCGGTACGGCACAACAAAACGAAACATTCCACACAGAGGAAGGACCAAGCGGTGTCTCCTTCAGTCCTCCGTGTGCCAGAGAAATGCTCAAAGGCAGTGCAATAAGTAAATAATGGTTCATAAATGGGACTCAACTCAAACACAAAAAGCTGGACCAGTTAAAGTAGTAAAACGCAGTAAATTCAATGCTTGAGGACGGACGTTGGGCCTGGCCCGTCCCCATGGACCCCCCCAAACCGCCTGTCACACACAAACGTAGCCAATACTGCGGGAATAACAGGTTAGGGCTAGACGAAGTCTTATTAAAGGCTTTTAGGATGGGGGTGCATTTCTGCTGATGGGGCTCTGTAGCTTTGGGGGGCTAAATGGACCCCAACATCAGGAAGACTTTCTGCAAGTCCAAAGTAATTAAACCAGCCTGTCTGTCGGCATGTGACAGGGTCCTTAAATGACTCGTTAGTGCTTCCCCATAACAGACG